TGAGGATCCCTTTTTAATAATTGATATGTCTTCAATTGGAATAATGTAAGAGGATGAAAAACTGAAAGAATGTTTTGATTTCTTCTTTTCACTGTCAATCAATGAAGAAACTAACTCCTTTTCAGATACTTTCCCATAAGATGATTTGCTTCTTTCAATATTTGGTGTGGAGCCCTCATAATATTCATCCTCCTCGTCATTCATATTGAAAATAAGTCGCTTGTCTAAAAGTTTTTCTTCAATTTGTTTCTCTGCCTTCTCCTTACTTTTCAGTTTTCTCAATTTCTTTACAATTTTCCACACAAAGAATATTCCAAAACCTAATGCTATTCCTAATGCGAATAGAAAGAGAGAGCATCCAATGATGATGATAGCAAATGTTCCATACGGGACTTCTGGAAGCAATCTACAGTCGTATAGGAATACATCTGATTTTTCTGTGATTATCTTCTCTAAATAATATCCTTCATCACATGTTTTGATTAATACAGGTAAAGAGAGAACGTCAGACGAAGTTTTAACTGTCAAGCTATCATTATATCCAATCATTGTTAAATTATCATTTGATTTGAGAATAAAGAAGACTTTGAAGGAAACTGAATCCATAGTTTGATCCACTGTAATAGCAACCCTTTGGTCTAATGATGTGATATTCAACAAATCTTGCACTCTATTATTGATTTCTCCTTTCCCATCAATTCCACTAAAATTCAAAAAGTAACTTTTTCCAATGACCAACTCGAAAAATTCATCTTGTTTAGAAGCTCCAATAACAGAAACTGTTTTCAGGTACACTCTTTCAGCAATCTCATTTTCCGAAATGGTGGTGTCACTTAATGTCAATAGATTCTTATCGTAATTGAAAAACCCAATAGATCCTTTCAATTTAGCTGTGTTACTATTGAATACTGAACTTATCATGTCAATCTTGGATCTCTTCTCTCCAAAATAGAAAACACCACCTCTCATTGCATAATTATTTGCAAAATATGATTTTTCAAATGAAAAATAGGTATTATCAGTATAGCTATTACTATTTTTGACTGAAATTGCACCTCCAGAGCATATTTCAAGATTTGGAATATTATCAACACACTCAACTCTATTATTAATGAATGAAGAATCACGTATAGTGCTCGAAAATTGAATATTTCCTATATAAATAGCTCCTCCTGATAGTAAGGCAACATTATCTCTGAATGTACAATTGAAAACTTGGAAAATTGAACAAGTTTCAATATAGAGAGGACCATACAATGCTTTAGATCCAATAAAATTTGAGGAACCAATAAAAATCACACTCTGAGTGCTTTCTATTGACAACACGGATCCAATTATGAGTGGTCTATTATTGTAAAAATTGCATTGCCATAAATTAATGTTGGAATAGCTTGAAATTTCTATTGAACCAACCCCTTTTGGGAAAGAGGAGGTTGTTATTTCCATTGCGTAACAATTAGTACATTTCATTAGATATTTTTCATTACCTGAATATGAACTAGATGCAAAAGTTAATCCCTTAATTGACAAACTTTCAAGAATGTCAAATTGAAACAAATTCTGACCTTTGTTTGTTGTAATATTTGTAAAACTCCACTTCTTTCCATTATATCCAATAATGATATTCACATCTTTAGTCAAAACTGAATCTTGTAATTCAACGTTTGAAAAATTAGCATCCTCAACAAAACTCATTGAAATTCTTACAAGTTTCGAATTGGAAATGGATAATGATTTGAAAGTTGAAACTACTGTCATCATTCCAAGTATACTCCCCTCAATATTCACATTATTTCCATGCAGAATACCAAAAGTTACATATATTGACGATCTTAGAATATTCACCTGATTGGTGAAACTTATTTTGAGTGAATTTTTCAATACATTAGAAACAAATATCGAATTCTCAACAATGAAATACTCAGCAAACGTTCCTCTCACATAATTAATCGCTTCTCCTATCAAGACATTTGCAAATATACAATTTTCCAAAATGATATTAAGAGGTATCCAAACACTATTATACTTGATGATCATGTTTTGAAAATTCAAATCATGAAAGTATACTGTATTAATCTGAGGAGGAATGGAAATGCCATTTCCATCTTGTGTGTTGAGGCAGGTCAAGATGGGTGTTATTGTTGATGATTCGACTAGTTTCGTTA